ATAGGGGAAAGGGTCCCTCGGGGGGAAGGGGCTTGGTACAAGTATTTTCGTGTGGCGCATTTCCTGTCGGCTGCTGAAATAGTGGTTAGTAAGCTCTATTGGGTAGCGAATGTAGAGCCCTATGCAGTAGTTGTAGAATTTCTAGTTGAGACTCCTCCACCTTACGTACTCAGTCTTCTAGAGCAGGGTCTGAGGTGCTTTGGTCAGTGGATTAACTTCTTCCAGAGTGAGAAGATTCGGAGGCCTGACACCCTTGGCTCCGTCAGTGGACAGCCCTCTAGAATGATGGGAGTTGGAGCGGGATGCTCCGTTGTTCTGAGTGTTGCGTCTGGTGGTCATGCAGTAAGTCTCACAAGAACTTTAGTGGTATGAATGTTTTTTTCCCTCAGATGATATCAAAATGATGTGTGGTGGAAAGTTTTAGGCATTAGAGATAATCCTGGAAAGAGAAAAAATCATAAAACTTAGCTTAGTTGAAGAGATCCACTAGAAATTGGTGATTACATCTATATTCCTTGTCCCACATGTGAGAAATGGTTACACAATATCTTGGCTTGCAATGCCGGTGTGGGAAGAGCTTGTCTTAATAAGTGGGCGGCAACTGATAGTGATCGACGACAACTAGCGAGTGGTGTTCGGCGGCGGTCGGCTACTGGCGATCGATGGGTCGTCAGTGTCAAAGTGATGCTGGACTTCAACTTCTTCTCTAAGCTTTAGTAATTTCAGGCTTCAAGCTCCCCCCTCCTCCAAGAGAGGGTTAGAGCTCTATTTGTAGAGTCCCGGTTGTAATTAATGAAGAAATATTAACCATTCTGATTGGATAGCCCTAAGAGATTCCATTAATTGGACAACATTTGATGGATATTTGATTATCTTTATGATGTCATAATTGAGCAACTTTGACTTCCTTGGATTTGTTTTGACGAGACGCTCGATTTGATTATAAGTTTGCTAGATTCCACATTCATTTGAATTTCTAAATATGACCAGAAAGCTTCTAAAAGCTGTTTAATTGCTCGATCAAGGTTTGATTTGATTCCAATTAGACCAATTTTAGTGTCATTGGGTACGTTTCGTCATGACGAAGTTTGATGTAAGTTTGTTAAAATCGGAGCTCTATATGAATTTTAATTAAAGTTTGAACATTTCTTGCTCAAAAAAGGGTGAACGTTTTGTGGGTGTAGCGACCTAAAGAACGGGTGTGTCGTGGAAGTAGTGACCCAAAGGGTGGGTGTGTCTTAGAGGTTGTGATATAGAGGGTGGGTGTGCCATGGAGGCAGCGACCCGAAAGAGTGGGCATGTTGTAGAGGCAGCAACCCTAAGGAATGGGTGTATCGTGAAGACAGCGATATGAAAAAGTAAGTGTGTTGTGGATGCAACAACCTCAATAATAAGTGTGCTTGGAAGCAATGACCCGAAAAGTGAACATGTCATGAAGGCAGCGAGCATATGAAAAAGTAAGTGTGTTGTGGATGCAACAACCCGAAAAGTGAACATGTCATGAAGGCAGCGAGCCAAAGTAATGGATACGCCATAGTAGCAATGACTCGAAATGTTGAGCATGTCATGGAGGCAGCGGCTTAAGATAATGAGTGTACCACAATGCGGCATTTACTCAAGAGAATGTTGATTCTTACTAAAAAGAATCATTTAAGTGGGGTGAGTGTAGGAATGAACACTCAAAATGCAACTCAATCATGTGATGATGAATATGCTAAAATATCATGCAAGCATTACTAATGCACATGAAAAAAAACACATTGTGTAACTCGGTCGACTAAGGTGCTTAATTCAAGGGAACATAGCCAATAGGCTCATTCAGTCTAAGGTGGCCGACATGACCAAAGTGATTGGTCTACCGGACCAGAGCTGCCCAGTCGGATTAAAGTGGTCGGCCTACTGGGCCGGGGCGGTCTGCCAAAGTGATCAGCCAACCGTGTCGGGGCAGCCAGTCGGTTCAAAGCGTATTGTCAGACAGGTTGGGGGTGGCTGGTCGAGGCAAAGCTTAGTGTGGACTGGGCTAGTGCAGCAGGTCGAGGCAAAGTGTCATGTCGACCGGACCTGGGCAGCGGTTGAGCCGATGTGTGAGGCTGATCGCAACGGGGTGGCCAGCCGAGTTGATGTGCAATGCAACATGCAAAGTGCAAAAGATTGCACTCAATAGCGATCCAAACTCAATTAATACCCTCATATAAACAAATAGGATTTTAGTATTTAGATATGAAGGTTGGCCGCCTTCGGCTTTGGCGAAGAATGCAGAGAACTTCATCCTCTAATTTCTCGTATGAGAAGTAATTTACCGTTTGCAGGACATACTAGCTACAAAGTTTTTTCCATCCTACAACCCCTCCACGATCTTGTAGAATGGTCTAGCTTTAATGCTTTTCTCATTCTTCAAGATCAAACTATTCTAACCAAGGAAAGTTGGAGCGCCAAAGCTATGAGAAATTGAGATTTCGACATGGTAGGATTAATGCTAAGACTTATAAGGAAACTCTCTTGTCTTCGCAAAGGATTTGGCCACGCATGTGCTTCATAACCTAGAGCTTCCTATAAAAAAATAAATGACCAATCAAAAGACGTATGGTTGTGCTGATTAGTGTTAGCTGACCAACTTGTCTAACGTGGGTGACAGAACCCACAATGACACAACAAAGTTGGCAAAAAAAAAAAGGTGTATGGCCTGGTCGACCGGTATCGTTCGATCAATTGGGTCGTCCGATAATAGGCAATTGATTAAGCCAAATAATACCGAGTATCCAGTCACTCCTGCCTTGTTTGGTCAACCAAACCCACAAACACCTAGAAAGTTTATTCCTAGGGTTGGCTAAGAAAGAGAAATCAAAGGGATTTTAGAGAATCTCACCAATCCGAAGGTTGGGGATGTGTTAGTTCTAGTGAGATAAATCTCTCATAACAATAGGAGACAAAATGAAGTACCAGTGAGATCCGCCCCACACTTTATCTAAAGAATGAAGAAGCTCTCCTTAGAATTTTAGCTCGACTAGATTTCAATGAAGTTTCGAGCTTCGGTGAAGTTTTGGCGAAGCTCCGGTGACCCTTCCCCAAGTTAGGATGATATTCTCCTTTAGCTTAGGAGAGAATGAACCTTATTTTCTTGCTAGCCAAGTTCTTTCTCCTCAAAAAAAATCTCAACACACACTCAAGGCATGTGGTGGAAGAAGATGAAGGAGGTGAGTAAGAAGAGGGGTTTGGGGAGATGGGCACTATAGACTTTTTCTCTTTGAGGAAGATGAAGAGTCTTCATCTCTTGCTCTCTAAGAAACTCTTCAAGGGGAAGATGAAGCTTAAATGCTCTAATCTCTCACCTCACGAGCTCCCTAAAAATTGAAATGAGAAGAAGCCCATGAAATGAGAAGGGAATTTGAACCAACCCTTGTCAAATTTCCTCACATATTTGCTAAAAATGGCCTTGCCACCTCACCTTAGGTGCCTCCAAAAGAGGTATAATTATCTCCTTTATCTCTCCCTAAGTAAATCCCCTCAAAACCAAGAAATCCCTCCAATTTCAACTCATGGGGGAGAGGGGTGGGGGCAAATCAACATAAAAAAAAACAAGTTCCATGACCCTGGTGCCTAGGCACCCAGTCTTGCGCCTACTTCCCAGGGTCTCAAAAAAATGACCATTTTTTTAGCATTTTGGGAGCCTAAGAGCCCGAGACTGGTACTAGGTGCCAAAACTGGCTTGAGACTTTCATGGGCTCAGTTTCAGATGTCTAGAAGGGCATTTTGGGCTCCTAGGTACCTTGGGCTGGAGCTTAAGCACATCGATCTAGCCCCGAAAACCTTGATTTACATTGGGAGTGCCTGACGGAGGTTTTTTTAGATCTAAAAGCTACGGTAGATCAATTATGACTAAATTATGATATCTTAACTTAAAAAATGAGTATTTTGATCTTCTATTGATCAGAGAATCTGTCGCCAACGATCGCTCTGAGCTACAGTGCATGTAAGGCGTTCCAAACTATATTTTTTCTGTAGCGCGTGCAGGAGGGCTCTATGATTTTTCTTGACCTCCAGGAGGCTCTGAATGGATACAAAGGGACCTTTAAATACCATGATGAATATCAAACATGTCTAATGTTTGGAGTAGGCCCGCTTAATGACGAATTATTCTGGATAAGAACAAATTGTCGCAGACCTTGGTTTCATGCCCCGAACACGTATCGAAGATCTCGAATGAGTGTCGAGCTATGAGTGAGCCGTGAATCGTCCCGAGCTAGTCGAGCGGACACCCTACACCTGCAACATAAAAAATTGACGCCAACAAATCCTGAATAGGAACCTTGTCCTTTGTGAAGGTTTATTCAATCAAGCAAAGAGTGTATCACTCATAATTCGACGAATAATCTTGGTTAAGATTAATGGTCCCTACGAGGGTTGGAGCAACCATTGACCTAGAATTGGTTGAGGAGCGGATGTTACATGATCATTATTGGTTCTGTGAACAACGTTCATTGGCTCTAATTAGGATTTCCTTACATTCAATCAGCCAAGCCTGCTAGCCAACTGAATGAAGTTGTATTAGATGATTCGATCTTTTGGCTGATAACACGAAGTATTCTCTTCATGTGATAATTGGATTTCCTGACCACATTGGGTAACTAAATTTCTGATACATATCATACCTCGTGTATAATTTCCGTTAATGCTTGGATTGAATTTTTAAAAAAGCTCCCCAAATCAATCAATCATTCACTGCGACAACGGCCCGAAAAATTTCAAATTACCCTGACCCGTGGGTCCCCCAGCACACGTGCCCTTCAGCTGCTCCGGTATAGTGTACCTTCGCATGAGCCACGTTAACCCGTCCGATCTTATCCCAAACCCAATCACTGCTCTCTCCAAACTTTCAAACATTCCGCGCCTATTAACCCTAAACTCAAATCTAACCCAACATACCGTTGGTGGGATCGTGCCGGGTGCAGGAGGTTCAGGTCCCCGACATTTAAATCACACAGAGATCCGAGGTCCCATAGCCCAGTACGGGAATTAATCGCGATTTATGGAAGATTAAAGAGCGGCTAAACGAAGCGAAGTTAACTATTTGGCTGCGACGGTTGGCTGTGTCGCCGGAACGGCGGCCGATGCTTCATTGTTTCTTCTCGTTCTTACGAAGATGAAGAGCTGCGTATCTGACTCCGAGAGATCTCCGTAATCTGGCGGGCTTGTTTCTGTGTTTCTATTTCTCTCACGGAAAGTTCCGGCGAGGTATCGATCACTATTCCTTGCTCTGTTTCTTGAAATTTGCGATTTTCTTTCTGTTCTTGGTTTAGCGTTTTGTTCTTGCACATTGCTAGGTTTTCTGCTTGGCTTCTGATTTTTTTTTATTTGAAGTTGTTTTTCTGGTTTCCGAGTTCATAAACGCGGATACCTTCTTCGATGGGTACGGTTTATTGAAGTGTTCTTAATGCTTTGGGTGTTTATAAAATATGAAAATGTGGATTCGCTGGGTTGCTGATCCTGTGCCAGATTTGCTGTTCCTTTTTTTCGTATTTGCATGTTTGATTTTCTTGTAAAATTTTTTCAGATCTTTGTGTATTAACACTTTCTCGCATTTGCTACTGAGATGCATTTGTAACCAAGGATATGGAATTTCTTATTTGGCTGATGGTTGTATTCAGAATAACGTGGACGGGGACTTCGAAGTGGTTATTTGTTTGCTATATATAATAGGCCCGAAATGATAGGATCTTTTCTCACCAGAGCCCTCGCGTAAGCAATTCAGCAATCTGGATCGCTTCTGCATTTAATTTGTATTCTGTTATCTGGTTTAAGAGGGCTTGTTCATGAATAACAATTTGAAAATGCAATTTGTTTCATTCCTATATGTAGATTGGTTCTTGGGTACGCTTATCCTGCTTATGAATGCTTCAAAACTGTGGAATTGAACCGCCCAGAGATTGAGCAACTTCGGTTCTGGTGTCAGTATTGGTAAATCTTCTAAATTTCCATTAAAAACGCTTGTGATTCGGCATTTTGCCAACAAAGAATGTAGCTTGAGCTCCCTGTTGCAATATTTTTGTCTAAATAACTTTCAGGATTTTAGTTGCTGCATTGACAGTCTTTGAGAGGGCTGGAGACACTTTTATCTCATGGTGCGGTATGCATTTGTTGATGTTAGTCCACAAAATTCATATTTTTTCGCTTATCTATTGATTTTTTCCTCATCTTTTGAAGGATGCCAATGTATAGTGAAGCAAAGGTGGCATTTTTTGTATACCTGTGGTATCCCAAAACCAAGGTAAAGCTTCTACTTCGGAGAATTTTTCATCTGCATCCCATCATTAATTAAAATCCTCAAAATGATTGATTTTAACAGGGAACAACATACATCTATGAAACTTTTTTGCGACCTTATGTGACTAGGCATGAGACTGAAATTGATCGCAACTTACTTGAGCTGAAGGCCAGGGCTGGCGACATGGTTTTCCTCTATTGGCAGAAGGCTGCAATGTATGGACAGACACGGATTTTTCAGATCTTTCAGTTTATATCTTTTCAACCAACACAGCAACAAGGAAGATCCAGACCCACTGTGGTAATGATTGGGCTTTATTTTGTATTGATAATGCGTTTTTCCTTCTTTTTACTTTAGAATAAAAGTTGTAAAACATGCTCAGGTTTGATTTTGTGGGAACATTTTCTTATCTCATATTCTTCTGCTTCATTAGCTCTTCTATTTCTGCTTCATGCTTCTTGTTAAACCGGAAATAAATCAATGGTATTAATTGCCCGGATGTTAAATCATAAATGAATCTATGACATTAATTGCCCCGATATGGTGTAATTAACGCCGATTCCATAGGTTGATGTGTAGGCTTAATTTCTGCTCTCAATTTACTTTCTTTCCTATTCTAAATCTTATAATACCTATATAAATACCACAATTCTTTGTACTAATATGTATCAAGAAATACAAATCCCTTTTTCCATTATTATGGTATCAGAGACCTAGATCTTTCCACACCTAATCTCTGCCTTGTCCTCCAGCCAGAGACGAACCTTCCCTGTAGTGCAACCTTCTGCCTTCTGTCTCTGTGCCGCCTTAGCCCCACGAGATCGCTGAGACACAGCCTCCATGTCTCCTGCACGATCCCAGGTTGTACGCTTGAGCTCTGTTCCCTGCAATTACCTCTCTGCCGTACCGCGCAAGGAGCCGCAACCCTGTCTCCCTCAGCTGCGACTCGACCCGAAACTACCGTCTGAGCTCTCGTCCTCTTTGCTGCCGTGATTGCCCTCTGTCATAGCCGCACACGATCCACCCTTGTTGCGCCTGCCTTTCTTTCGCGATCGACCTCACTTCTGGCCCAATATATCTCCCTCCCCGATATATCTCCCTCCCTTTTTTTTTAATTTATTTTCTTTTCTCCTGTGCAATTCTCGGTATCCGTTGTTCTCTTTTAACATCTTAAAATCTATTATCCCTAAACTTAGCCCCCACATTTTTTTGAATTTTGGAGCAAGTTTATTCCTGGAATTTTGATTAATATAAATATATGATATATTGCTAGAAACTTTCACATTTAGCAAATATCTCTTTGCTTTTCCCGACCTTTTCGAGAAGCTCAATGTTCAGTGAAATTAATACTCCTTATTTAATACTCCTTTTAAGATCTATGTTTAGTCTCATGCTCCTTGCACGAATAGTAAGAATTTTATTTATCCTCTAAACCATTATATTTTGTTACATGGTTCCTAAGACTATTTGCTCAACATGAATCTCCTAAGTGACACAATTTTTTAATTATGTGGAGTCATACTCCCACCGTTTTTTGAATGTAAGCATTTTATTGTCTTCGATTTCATTTTTGAGGCTTTTTCACTTCACAAAAGTTAAAATACATCACATTTCTTCTTAATAAAATAAAACCATACTCTTTATTTTCTTAAAGTACATTATTGGCGCAAGTTGATTTAGTAGGCTTTAAACTATAAAATTTATTGTTGTTGTCTTGTGTGAAATTTCTTGGGCTTTCACATATATGATCTAGGTTTTGATTCAATACATGTGAATCTACCACCACGCTAGTGACGATTCCCTCTTTCATGTGTTAGTGGTAGTATAGAAATTTGTCTTTGTTATCTTAAGCAAGCTCATGACACCTTTTTGTTGCTTTCTATGTATCAACATTATAGTTGATCACATGAAATATATCTTTATTTTAAACTTTTATTTAATTTTAGATCTTGAAATTGTCTTGTGAGCAAATACACTTTTCATGTGTTAGGGTAGTACAGAAATTTGTCTTCTTATCTTAAGCAAGCACCATGACAACTTTTTGTTGCTTCCGAAGTATCACAATTATAGTTGATCACATGAAATATCTCTTTATTTTAAACTTACATTGAATTTTAGATCTTGAAATTTTTCTTGTGAGCAAAGATGCTTACTTTCTTCTTACAAAATTATTAATCACATAAAGCCTCATTGCCGTTGATAAAAAAGATATTGTTGGATACAAATGTCATCTCTAACTATAAATCTTCTAATTGTTGTAACCTTATGCTTCATCATGCATTTCATAACTGCACCTAAAACTTAAAAATCTCTGTGACAACATACATTATCATGCTTTTCACACAACTTTCACTTAATATTTTTTTGCCACTGCTGCAGCAGAGGCACTCAGTTCATCTTGGCCATCAAACAGTGCCATCAGTTTCCGCAGGCAATCAAGTGGCCCCATCCCAGAAGCCGCTACAGCCACCTCGTGCTTCTCCAAGTCCAACCAAGAACAAGAATCACGAACCACCTGCAAAAGCTTCAGGAGTTCCTCCTCCAGTCCCAACTCCTCAGATCCAGCTATCACCAGGCACTCCATACCAACCTTTTGCTTCAGCTAACACATCTCAAACATCAACAAGTGAAGGAGAGTTAAAGCAAATTGCTACTACTGCTGCTGAGCCTGCAAGCGTCGAGGACTCCAATCTTCCAGCCAAGGAGACACCCATAGAAGAAGCCATTCGAATGACTCGTGGAAGGTTAAGGAAACGAGCCGGCTCTTTTGGCCCGTCGTCCTGCCAGTGATAAGTATTTATCTACTAGCTTAATTCAGTTTATAGTTTAGGGTAATGAGTTCCAATTGAAGATGAAATAGCCAGTTGAGGCTGATTGTATCAGTTAGTGCGCGGGTAAATAAAACCTCTAATAAATAGAATTAATATATCTGCATCCAGCTCTGACGCTTTAGCATGTTATGAAGCCATGAAAAGAGTAGTGAAATTAGGATTTTGTGTACTAAAATGTTTATCATTGATCAGAAATGGAATTTTTTGAATTATGTGTATGTTGTTGTGAAGCTTAAAAATGAATGCCTGAACATTGTAGAAATTGTGTTGCGATTTTGCTAGTTACTAAGAAGCAGCAGAAAAGCAGAAATTTATATTGTAGTAATGTTGGATGATGCGTTTAGGTTTCGTTTGAGAAGACGGTAAAACCTCGTTTCATTGTTGACTATTGACGCGTGAAAAAGCTTTCATTTGGTGAAACAAAATCTTCCAAACCTATTTCTCAAGAACGTTAATTTTTTATCGTTTTAGATCGCGGCCGGCGTTCTCCGTTGACGTGGCATTTGAAGGAATTTCGCTGAATGATAAAGCTCTTTCAAACGAAGCCTACTAGTCTGGTAGCTTTAACTTCAACGAGCTGAAATAAGTTTACATGAGTTCTAGTTTCTTAATAAAGATATTTCTTTCATCTAAGCTCTGTTTGCACTTAGCCACTTCACTTAGAGCACAAACACAGCTTTTGAGAACTGAAAAGTACAGTATATTGAAAAATCCAAGGGCTGCTGTCACAGACTTCACTGCATTTTAGGTTTATAATCTGTAAATTTCTATTTCATGAATGAATTTTCATAGCTTAACAGTAGAAAATGCTGAAAAAAAAATGAGGGAATTAATATTTATATTAATATTATATTTTTATCATTGTTTTGGTAGCGCTGAAAGATGAACAAATAGTCTTTTTATCAAATAGGTTTTACAATGATTTATTAATGCATCTTCCTAAATATTTTGCTAAAAAAATTTAAACCTCTTCTTCTCACGCATGATCTAAAAAAATCACTTCTTCTCAAGTATGCGAGAAAATCAGACGTAGAGTTGATTGAGTGGATCACACAACGTTGCCAAATGTGTTGTGGTGCAATTCACGCCAACTTCTACACGACATAATATTTTCTCTAATCGCAGAGACGACGATATGAAAAATGTGATAATCAGACGTAGAGTTGATTGAGTGGATCACACAACATTGCCAAATGTGTTGTGGTGCAATCTATGCCAACTTCTACACGTCCTGTTGTCAGACATAATATTTTCTCTAGTCTTTACAGACATAATATTTTCTCTAATCTCAAAGACGAGGATATGAAAAATGTTAGTTCTATGTGCATTTATTTTGTAGTTATTTGAATAAAAAAGAGAATGGTTAACATATTTCATTAAAACGTAATGAGAATATTAAATACATGTTTTATAATCTTTAAGATAATGTAAAATATTCTGCAAGATAAAGCTATTTTTCTTTTTTTTTTAAATCCTTTTAATTACTGACTTGTAGTTTGAGAGCACCAGGAATATATTCTGTGTTTGATAATTGGGGAATTTATAAATATACCATACAATTTTTTGTATTTACATATTTATTACTTAAAA